TGGTTTTAGGTTGACGGATTGTGGGATAAGAAAGAGAACAATGGAGAGTGTCATCGTCGGCAAAGCGGTGGATATGATTAGATGTTTGGGATAAAAGATCGTTGATAAATAAGAGAAAGAGCATGAGAGAAAGTACGGAACCTTAGGGGACACCGACGAGATAGGACCCCATCTACTCGGACGGAGATGGTTCGTTTGCTGAGGAAACAACGAAGCCATGACACCAGCTACGGGTAGAATCCGAAAGTGGGTAACTCCTATAGCAGACCTTCATGCTAGAGGCGGTTGAAGGCCTTTAAAATGTTGAGTGGGACCACGTGAGTTTCTTCGTGGTTATCGAGTCCAGTCACCCAGGAATGAGATGTGAACGTCAGTAAGTCACCCGTAGAGCGACGACGGTCATTTAACAAACCTTCGCGTTCGAGAAACGTACGCAGTTGGTCGGAGATAGTGGTTTCAAACACTTTCGAGATTACAGATGTAAGAGTAATGGGACGGTAGTTGTTGGGGTCGGAAGGGTCGCCGCGCTTTGGGATTGGAAAAATAACGATATTTTTCCATGGAGTAAGGAAAGATTTAAATTCGAGTGAATAACAGAAAAGGCGGCGTAGAACAGGGGCTAACTCCCGGGTATATTTTAGGATGGCAGGTGGAATACCGTCCGGACCGGGTGGTTTACAAACATCCAGACCGCGAAGAGTTTGGCGGACCTTTCTGGTTGTTATGATAGGTAGAAAGGAATGACTGGATGTGTAGGAGGAGAATTGAACAGTAGAGGCGGTAGATAATATGGATTTGGAGATAAACCGGGTAGCGAAGACCTCTGCTTTTTCGTGGAGATCACAAACAAGAGTACCAGGGGAATTGCAAGTGGGAGGAAAGTTGGGGCAGAAATTACGGGAAACCGCTTTAGCGAGGGACCAGAATGTTCGGTTAACGGTGGCGGAAGAGGCCAAGCGCGCAGCCTTGTGACAAATTGTTCTTTAGCTCTCTGAATAGTGACCGAGCATTTGTTTCTGGCTTGCATGAAGCGGTTGCGGGATGCTGGATTGGGTGAGTGACGCCAACGACGGAATGCTGTTTTAAAACGTACAGCACGGTTGCCAGCACGATTCAACCACTCAAGGGATCGTGATTTGCCGGGTTTGGAGAAGTTTGGAACATAAAGATACATACCTTGAAGAACAATCTCTGTGGAGTTTGAAACAGACTTGGAAACATCCGATTTAAAACAACAATCTTTCCAGGGGTAACAAGCCGGAAATTCACGAAAACTGTCCCCGTTGGCTGAATCGTAACACCAAAAGGTGCATCTGGAGTTTTGTGGTGACGTGGAGTGAGAGAACTGAGTGAGAAAAGAAATGAGACAATGGTCCGATGAACCGAATGGGGAAAGAGAAGTGATGTTGGAGAAAGAGGGAATGGATGTGAGAATGAGGTCAAAGGTGTGGGCGCGGTCACCAATACGATCGAGGATGTGTGTGGAGAG